GTGGCTCCAAAGGCTAAAATTACCCCTCCAAGGATGTGGCTCAAAATTTGCTCCTTTAGAGGGAGCGCAACTCCACCCAAAACAGATTGGCGCTGCTCACTGCTTGCCAATAATGCCTCTGCTGTACCTGGGTTGAGTTTTAGCTTCTGGACCCTCAGCAAGTCCATTATCCACCCTAGACACTGCCTCAGAAGGGTCCTGCCTTGTCTCTTTCTACCTGGCTTTGGGCGGGGCATGACAGGCTTCACAAGCGCTGTGGCTGCTGGTCAGGCCTGCCGGGGAGTGGGCCCCAGCCAACAGAATGTCTGGGGCAGGTTCCACGGGGGGGATGCGCTGGGACACCTGATCTCAGTCATCAAGGGTAGGAGAAGGAGTTATGCTAAGATCAGACCATGTCATTACCGAGGAGGCAGGTTTAGTCATTGTTTGAGGACTATCCCTGCCTCCGGGTCTGGTCTTGACCGGATGGATCAACCCACATGACCTGAAGGTGCTGCTGTGCAATGCCAGGTCCGTGACTCATAAAACCACTGCCATCCATGACTTGATCGTGGATGGAGGACTTGACCTGGCATGTGTGACAGAGACTTGGTTGGATGAAGCAGATGGGCCTGTTCTTGCCGCTGCTTGTCCACCAGGTTTCTTGTACACACAGCAACCCAGGTCATATGGGCAGGGAGGGGGGGGTTGCAGTGATTTTTAAGAAGTCACTGGTTTACACTGGGCATCATATTGGGAAGACCCAGTTCTCTGAGTGCATGTTCTGGAAGTTGGGCAATAGGGGCAGTACAGGATTCCTTTTGGTGTACCTGTTAGTGTACCTGCTCCATGATTGCAGTCATGGGATTGTTGTTTCACATGACGGTATATGTTTTGACTCCACAGAGTGGGAAGTGACAGAAACAGGATATTTGTGTTACTGTGTTCCGTGAAGTGGGACTATTGTCCTTTGTCCTTTTTCTCTTTGCTGTCTGATGCTAGAGAGAGAGGGAGCCATGTTGCAGTGCTCTGTATGTGTTTATATGCAAATAAAGTAGATTAGCCAAAATTCTGAGTTGCTGAGCTCTGTTACACAAACTGCGAACGCTCTGCAGATCCCTAAGTGTGCCGATGTCTGTTGGCATCGGTCGCTGTGATGTTTGGGCAGAAGAAAGCTTTTGACACTCCCGAACGAAAGACCAGGAGGGTGAGAACTTGCCAGTTGGGCATGTGTCTCTGCCAGGATCCTACTTGAGTGTAGGACGAGCTCCTGACAGTACCAACCTCCCCACTGCACCAAGGATTCCCTGCCCGAGCTGCTTCAGGTCGTGGCAGATGTTCTCCTGGGGACACCTAGTTTGGTTGTCCTAGGGGATTTTAAAATCCATGCCAACACGACCTTACAAGGGGCTGCTTGGGACTTTGTGGAAAGCATGGCCTCCATGGGGCTGTCCCTGAATGAGTTTGGTCCAACTCATAGTCGCAGACATACCTTAGACCTGGTGTTCACCTCTATGGATGTTGGTGATCTGACACTAAGTAAAAGCGAAACAAAAGAAGTGCCATGGTCAGATCACTTCCAGGTGCAACTGGACTTCTCCACGACCCTTCCCCTCTGCAGGGAGGTGGGACCAATTTGGATGGTCTGCCCCCGCCACTTAATTGATTCAAATGGTTTCCAGAGAGTGGTAGTGGATGCTTTATCCCATTTTGATGGCCTTTCAACTGATTACCTGGTGGCCCGCTGAACCAGTGCTATTGACTGTCTGGCTCCAAAGCGCCCTCTCTGATTGCATGAAGCCTGGACAGCCCCGTGGTTTTCCCAGGAGCTGAGGGCAATGAAACAATTTTTGGGAAGGCTAGAGCGCCGGTGGCGGAAAACTCATTCTGAATCAGATCAGACACAGATTAGAGCTCAACGTCGAGCCTACCAAGTGGTGATAGCGACAGCGAAGAGGACTTTCTTCACCGCCTCTATGGCATCTGCAGAAAATAGCAGCAGGAAACTCTTTCAGGTGGTTCGCAATTTAACAGAATCACCTTTGACATCGGGGCCTGGTAAAGACCCCAAGATCTCCTGCAACGATTTTGCAAAGTTTTTTGCAGATAAAGTCTCTCAGATTCGGAAAGAGGTGGACTCCACCGTGGGAGCAGGGCAGGGGTGGGAGACTGCTAAGAGTCCTGTCTAGTCGAGTTGCATGGGATCAATTCCAATCTGTTACCTCCGAGGATGTGGACAGTCTGCTTGGACGAGTGAAACCAACCACCTGATCTTGATCCTTGCCCATCCTGGCTAGTAAAAGTGAGCTGGGAAGGGCTGGGCAGTGGGCTCTGTGGGGTGGTGAATGCTTCCCTCTGTGAGGGAGCCTTCCCAGACCTGCTGAAAGAGGCGGTCATTAAACCTTAAATTCTTCAACATCTTTAGACCTGGCCAATATGGCCAACTATTGCCCGGTCTCACAATCTTCCATACTTGTGTAAGGTGATTGAGCTGGTGGTCGCTGAACAACTCCAGGCATGTCTGAAGGATGCAGACCATTTGGATCCCTTCCAGTCGGGATTCAGGTCTCACCATGGGGCTGAAACTGCCTTGGTCATTCTGGTCGATTATCTCCGGCGGGCTGGGGACAAAGGTGAAAGCTGTTTCCTAGTTCTGCTGGATCTCTCAGCGGCCTTTGATACCATCAACCATGACATCCTTCTAGACTGTCTAGAGAAGCTGAGGGCACTGTTATACAGTGGTTCCGCTCCTCCCTCCTGGGCCGTGTCCAGAAAGTGGTGTGGGGGATGAGTGTTCGGACCCCTGGGCTCTCACTTGTGGGGTGCCTCAGAGTTCTGTCCTCTCCCCCATGCTTTTCAACATCTACATGCAGCCGCTGGGAGAGATCATCAGTGGGGTTGGGGATGATACCCAGCTCTACCTCTCTTTCAAATTGGAACCTGTGAAGGCGGTGAAGGTCCTGTGTGAGCGTCTGGGGGCGGTTGGAGGATGGATGGCGGCTAACAGATTGAGGCTGAATCCTGACAAGACAGAAGTACTGTTTTGGGGGGATGGGGTGGTCAGGTGTGGAGGACTCCTTGGTCCTGAATGGGGTAACTGTGCCCCTGAAGGAGCAGGTGCGCAGCCTGAGAGTCATTTTGGATTCACAGCTGTCCATGGAGGCGCAGGTCAATTCTGTATCCAGGTCAGCTGTCTACCAGCACCATCTGATACGCAGGCTGAGACCCTCCCTACCTGCGGACTGTCTCGCCAGAATGGTGCATGCTCTAGTTATCTCCCGCTTGGATTACTGCAATGCGCTCCATGTGGGACTACCTTTGAAGGTGACCTGTAAACTACAACTAATCCATTATGTGGCAGCTAGACTGGTGACTGGGAGTGGCCACCCGAGACAACACAACACTTGAAAGACCTACACTGGCTCCCAGTATGTTTCCGGGCACAATTCAAAGTGATGGTGCTGACCTTTCAAGCCCTAAATGGCCTCAAAGGCCCAGTATACCTGAAGGAGTGTCTCCACCCCCATCGTTCTGCCCGGACACTGAGGTCCAGCTCCAAGGGCCTTCTGGCAGCTCCCTCACTGCGAGAAGCGAAGTTACAGGGAGCCAGGCAGAGGGCCTTCTCAGTAGTGGCGCTTGCTCTGTGGAAGGCCTTCCCATCAAATGTCAAGGAAATAAACAACTATGTGACATTTAGAAGACAACTGAAGGCAGCCCTGTTTAGGGAAGTTTTAAATGGCTGATGTCTTGATGTATTTCTAATCATTTGCTGGAAGCCACCCAGATGGGCAGGGTAGAAATTTGTTGTTGTTGTTCTCTCCTGAATCTGATGAAAATAAGAAATGGAACTGAGTGTCATCAGCACTGTACTGATACATTATTCCAGATTCTAAGATGACTCAAGTAGTTGTGGGTGGGTGCTAAAGTGGAGAGACCCCACAGGAGCTCATACCATGGGGGGTGGCAGGCTGTAGTCTCCCAGCACCCTCTCCAAGTATCAGCTAGCCAAGAATGAACAGAACCACTTCCTTATGGCGCTTTCAGCTCCCAGTCTGGACATGGACATGTTTAGGGGAGCGTGTTTGGAAGCACAGGGGGTGCCAGAAGTATGATGCTGAATGGAAGGGAGGGAGGTGCTGAATTTTGGCATCGCACAAGATGCTGCTGAAATTTGACCACAAGGTCCACCACTGCTGGACAGCACATCCAGAAGGAAACTCATCGAAAGCTCCTGAGGTCCAGGTAAATCAAGAAATTTCCTTTCTCCTGTACTGCCAGCAGATATCATCCATCCAGGTAGCCAAGGCACTTTGTGGCAAAACCAGACCAAAAGCACCAGGGCTGCTTAAGACATTTTTGCTGCATGAGGTGAACCAGAAAACGCCCCTCCTGTCCCACTGCCATGCCACCTGACTAGGACCAAGTGATAAGTGACCAAGGTTTTATCTGAAATTTTCTCTCTCTCCTGGGTAAGGCTGTTAGGATTGCAGCCCAGACCTCCCAACATCTGCATCTGCCTGAACTAAAGAGTGGTTGTGAACATGTGTAATAGTCCTCCTCAATGTCAGCTGAGAGCTGCCAGGTAAAACTCTGCAGTTGCACTCATAAAAAGACCTGTAGCAGCAGCCCAGTGCATGGAGCTGGTGGCCGAGTCATCAGGAAAGAAGGCTGCAGTCCTGGGTGCAAGAGGGTGTTGGCAAGCAGCAGGGAGAGAGAAGGGCTGTGGAACAGGCAGGCGGTTTTGCCGGGACTCGGAGCGGCTAGAGCCACCCCTCTGTCTTCTCCCACTGCAGCGGCTGCCTCACCAAGTCTTGTGGCCGCTCTGGTCCTGTGATGCCCAATTGACATCCAGCTCAGTAGCTATCTGGAGCTGTGTTAAATCCATTAGCTCCTGCAGGAAATAGAACTGAGGTAACTCTTTAATTTAGCGGCTCCTAGAAAAGGTTCAGGGACTGGCCCAGGCCCGTCTCGCACTGCGAGCAAAGATGCAACTTGTCCGCTTCCATCATAGACAAACTCCATTCACTTTTAAAAAAAGTTTTATTGGGAATTCAAATAATACAAAGAAAACATGGTTCATGTTTTTCAATAAATTTAAGCAAAGCCAACTTTCATTTCTCCCCATCCCTTAGAGCCCTTCTTAACAGCATACAGACTATAGTAAGGACTCTTTAATCCTTTCACAATTAGTTGTTGTGTGCATTATATGTAAACTGGTGTTACCTGTTCCAGGTAAGCAACAGTCACAAGAAGTCTTGCAGAAGGTGACTTGAGATACACATCAGGAAACAGCCTAGGGGCTGATGGGGCTGGCTTTGAGTTCAGAAGTAACTTCAGAAGATGAAAATTAGTAGCTGAAGAGTCAAATGTTGCCGGGGCCAAGGGAGCCTTGCTCTCTCTCCCCTTTTCCCAGTAATTCAGCATAATTACATTTTCAAATAATATATCTCAAGGCCGTACTTCTCTGGAGCAAGGAAAGCATTGCCTTACATTCTACACCCTGATTTACAGCAACATACACAGGAGAATGCTAGAAGCGGCTGAGCCTCAGCCAGCCAGCCTCACAGAGTCAGACGAGCGCAGCTTCGGATGAAGCCACATTTAGAGCACTCCTTTTTTCCCCAGACAGCAGCATTTATAGCAGTAGTCTATTTTTAGTATAGTATTGCACTTTTGGCTGGATCATTTCCAGGCAAATTGCAGCCTGATCCCTCGCAGCAGTCACTCCAGAGCACACACAGGCAGTGGTCGGGAGCAGCTTGACCCTGAAGGAGATGGAGTTGGCAAGTCAGGCAGTGGTTGGGTTCCAGGACAAATCCTAAAAGTCAGGGCTTGCTGGACCATGAAGAGCTGCCGGTCTGGGGCAGGGTCATTTTCTGATGCCTGGGTTTGGGTGATGAACTGTAATTGAATTTCGTTTTCTTCCACCTGCTTCTGGCACTTGAGCTGCTAGGTTTCCTTCTTCGCTCATGCAAGAACATGGTCACAGGATGGAAGAGGCTGGGGGGAGATCCCCTAGAGAGGATAGTGCACAAAGCAGAGGTCTAAGAACGGGGTTAACTCCCTCCCTCTCATCCTTCTGCTTAACCCTACCCTACCATGCAGTGGGGACAAGGAGCTCTGAGGGCTCTAAAGGGCAGGAGTGGTACACTGGTGCCATGGGACAATATCTTTTGCAACACCAACTTTGAATTGAAATCCATGGCTGCAAATGGTGGGGAGTACACACGACCACTGCTGACTACAAAACTGGCTTGGGGGCCCCTATATTCTGGGTACAAGGCTGCTTAGCCCACATGAAAGCCAGGGACCAGCACTATCTCAGCGGGTGTGGAGAGCGGAACAGGACCTCCTCCCTCTAAGCTGGGGATAGTCTGGATTTGACAGGCAATAAGGCGTTTGTGCAGCAGGTTGGAGGTTAAAGGTGCTCCCCAACAGTCTGGAGAAGAGGCAGCGTCTCTCTTCCTTGGAGTAGCAGAAAAAGAAGCAACACACGAGTGACAACCTGGTCTTAGGACTTTCTCAGCTGCTGTTCCTCACAGTTCTTTCCCAGCTTCTATGATTATCTTGGAGAATTTGCTGGCCTGGAGCAGGCAGGGAGGGTGGTAAACTGAACAAAAGCCCTTGAAAGTAGGAAAAAGTCTGAGTGTTTCTCTCCCCATTATGGGGATGCCTTTTTTCAAGAACATGAGCCTGGGGGTGGTGACCCCGTGACCCAGGGGCCAACACCTGTGTGGGTAGTTAAGAAGTGTGAAAGGGTTTGTAGCCTTGCACAAGAAAGAGGGACAGCAGTGGAGTAAGGCCTTCGGAGCAAGCCCTGTGGTGCTCAACAGCAACGCCACCACGACTTGTAGGCCAAGTGAACTCTGGCCTAGCCAGGCCTGCATTCCTCTGTGGCCTCCTGGCTCACCTGTAAGTGCAGGTAAGTGGGCTTGGACTTACCTCCAGGTTCATCCTTGCTTTCCTCAGCACATCGTATGTCCTTGTCACTGTAAGCAAAGTAACAATCAGGCTTGTCTCTGAACATTTCCTCCCTGACCCCTTCATCGCTTTTCCTTCATTGCCCAGGCACCTTGTGAGATTTCCCTGAGGGCAGTAGAGGGCAGTGGGGGGCCGGCCAGCTACGCAGAGGCCCAATGTGCCTTACTGCTTTTGGCAGCAGTGCTGTAAGTCAAAGAACCCAGGGCTGTGGGGAGCAGAGCCCAGTGCCCTGATGGGGATGCATGCACCTGTATGTGCTCTGCATGCGTGTGCATGTGAGAATGCACAGGACAGTAGCCAGCCCACTACTAGGATACAGCCCCAAGTCAAAGAAAACAATGTCTGTGACATGTAATAACAATAGCTTATGCAGTGGGGCTGGGAAGACTTTATCAAACATACCATTAGAACTAGGCAGGCATTTGAGTCAAGGCACTCCCTGAGCACCTCTGCTCCGATTACTGGGAACAGAATTGAGGCCGGCACACAGCCCAGGAGCAGGCGCCTCTGCTCCCTCTGCCCCATGACAAGCACCCAGATGTGGGAGGCCGTGGAGGAAAAGGCCCTCCAGACTTCTCGAGTCTTTGATTGTAATTTCCTGAACCCCCCCAAGTACTTCTGAGGCAAAAAGGAGGGCAATCACCCATTCCTATTTTTAATTACAAGGATGTAAACTTGTAGTGTAAACTTGTAGTTTTCTTCCTCTCCACTCCCTTCCTGCCCCAAAACAAGACCCAGCATTGTTTTCTGGTTGCTGTGGATTCAGCTGCAAAGAGGGCAGGAGGACCCTAAGTCTTGCCCGCTCTGGATCTGTAGGCTGGATGAATGCCTTGAGGGCTGCACAGCCAAGCCACCCACCCCTGCCCACCCAACCACCTCACAGCTGGGAGGCAGCTCACAGTGGCTAAGGAGGACGCTCTCCATGCTCTCCTTCCCACGGCCGGCAGTCTGCAGGCGACTCTCTGGCTCAGCTGGTCTGGCTCTGAGCTCCTGGATCTCCCCCTTCTGAGATGGCTCCTGAGAAAGAAGCTGGTTATTATTTTCCATGGCATCTCCAACCATGAAACAGAACGAGGCTATGGACTCCTGCAGGTAAAAGAATGCGCTGCACCTCTTCAAGCAACATATGAGTAAAAGACATTTTATAATTCTTCACTTTTCAAAAGTAAAACAGCATTGTAGTTCATGCGTTGGTAACCTCTAGGACAGACTACTGCAATGCGCTCTCTGTGGGGCTGCCCTTGGGTCTGGTTTGGAAGCTCCAGCTGGGGCAGAATGTGGGAGCCAGACTGTTGGCGGAAGCTTCTGACTGAGGACAGGTCACACCATTGTTAAAACTGCTGCTCTGGCTGCCCACCTGCTACCGAGCCAGGTTCAATATCCTTGTATTGATTTACAAAGCCCTGAACAACTTAGGTCCAGCGTACCTCAGGGGACACCTGAAGCCTTATAGTCCAGCTCGATCACTGAGATCATCTGCAGGAGTGTCTCTTGTCATTTCCTGAGTTGGTGAGGCTCATTTGGAAACAATGAAAAGTTGAGCCTTTAGGATCATCTGCCCAGTCCTGAGGAACTCCCTGCCAATAGAGATTCAGCAGGCATCTCCTGTGCCAACCTTTAAATGCCTGCTGAAACCATTTCTGTTTCATTAGGTCTATGCGGGCAATTTAGAGTACTTTCCCCAAATGGTCTGATGATGTTTGCTTAATTTTTTATTTTATTTTTTGCTTTTAACTTGTTTTTAACATTCTATTTTGTTGTTGTCTGGTTTTATGTTTTTATATTCTTGTAAACAAACCTCTGTGATATATTTTTTATGATACAGTGGTATATAAACGCGATTTTCTTTGCCGAATTGAATAGTCTAGTCCATTCTAGCACTCATTCTGTTGCACATATAAATCAGCCCTAAGAGACTAAGTTAGGAATGCCTGCAGCATGACACAAAACTACTTGAGATGCCACTTCCTAAGAGCAGTCTCTCTCTCTCTCTCTCTCTCTCTCTCTCTCTCTCTGCACCACATAGAATACGCTGCCCTTTCTTATGTCTCCATCGTCCCCTTTCCAACATGCAAATCAAAAACACCCAGCTGCATGAGGCAGACAGCGCACAAGGAAGATCTCTGTCACATGGTACGCATTCTTAGCTCTTCTTTTGAAGTTGGCAGTGCCCTGCATTCAAGGAATTTTGCTCCTAAAGGAAAGGAGGAGGATGCTTTGCATGGGAAGAGGAAGCGTCTCCCTGCTGCCTGTCATACTTGCGCAGAGATGTGAGGGCTGGGAAGGGTTGCTCTCCAGAACGTTGCCAGGAGCGAAGTGGACTTCTCCAGGATCTGGTGCAAAGAGCTCATGTTGGCAAGCAGTTGCCTGATCCTTTCTTGGCAGAAGATCTACAGCAGCAGAGAGAAGAAACTTTTATCAAGAGAGTCTCTTGCACAACCTCAGCCACTTTGACGCCCCTGTTTAACTTTTGCATACTCTCAAACATTCCTCAGATGAAAATAGGGGACATTTCTCACTACCTGACAACTGGCCCTCCTTGACCCGCCCTGCAGAGCATTTCCTGTCAGAAGAATGGTGAGGGCCACCAGCACCACCCCAACGGGGCATGCCCCCCCCATCCTGAGAAAACCCCTCAATCCAGATTTTATTTTATTGGTAGACTTACAAAAAGAAAAACACACGCCAATCAATAAATTTTAGAAAGCAGCAAGATTAAACACAGACACATAAAGCATTAAAAAATCAAAATCAAGACTCCTTGTGCACTGCTCCCACTTTCTTCCTGCCCTCTCCCTGCCCCTGGGAGCCGGTGCATCATGGGGAGCTGGGCCTCAGCAGCCAAAGCCTCTCCTCCTCCTTGGCTGCCCTTCAGCAGCCACTACAAGCTGCCCAAGGGAGGAGGCCAGCAGTGGCAGCCATTGAAAGGCCATGAAGAGGCAACCGCCACTCGGGACAAGCACCAGCTCACCCTCCTCCCTGAGCGTGGGGGCAACAGCACTGGCGGGCAAAATGGGGATATTCTGGGATCAAATCAGAAGCTGGGATGGTTTTTTAATTCTGGGACTGTAATTCTGGAGAGTATGCATTTGGTGGTCCTCAAGCTGTCTCAGTAAGTCCTCCCAGGAGCACCTCTGTCCTAACATGAGGGAGCAGCTTTTCTTCTCCCCATGGCCCAGGTGGGCTGGAAAGATACCCTGTGATAACTGTTGCAGTCCCAACGACCTGTGGCCATTCCTGGGCCTCGTAGTCTCGTGATGGTGTGGCTGAGAAAGATCACGCGGCTCCGGAGGAGTTTATATTTTCTGCATCTTCCCCCTTTACCTTGGATTGCTGTAGTTCTTGGCCAGGATGCAGGAGAGAGGCCATTTTGTGGATCAGAGTTTTGCCTTCCAGAATCTGTTTCTTAAGGGTGCTGTAGTCCTTGAGGTGGCTGATCACATGGGACCCCTGGGTGCTCATATCGTCTAACAGCACTGGCTTCTCCTGCTTCTGTGTCCCTGAAAGCAAAGCACCAGACTGGAACCTAATTGGGTCAGCACCTCTTTGGAGTTCAGATCACATAGGCTTTGTTCTCTTCAGCTACAACCAGATGCAGGACTGGCTCACCTATGAGGTGGGGGGAGGCAGCCACTTCAGGCAGCAAAAGCTCAAGAGCTGTTGCCCTCGTGATCATACTGCCCCACCCACCACCACCAGTGGAGAAGCAGCGCCGACTTCTGGCAAGATCGCAGGAGATCTTGCTAAAACTTTGTGAGAGTTGGGTGAAATATGAAGATCTGCAATTTCTGGCTATTGCCTTGACCTGCATCCACACAGGTCAGGTGTGACTTTCCTTGCATGTGTGGAGAGAATTAGGTTTAGTGAAAATTCCAGGGAGGATCAAGGAAGACATCCACCCTAAAATAATCCACTGATGGTGTCGGCTGCTCTGTTTAGGTATATTAGTTGTCAGCTTTTGAGTTGCCAACTCAAAAGGTATATGAGGAAAGACTTCGTTGATTTATCTAGCATATTTATCTACAGGTTCCATTGGTCTGCAGCTAATCTTTTGAAAAGTCGCCCTTTTATGTCCATTTCCTAATCTTTTGGGAAGTTGCAATACTTTATGATCATTATTATTGTAATCTTCTGACTAAGCTAGACTTCTCACCCAATATTACACAATATTCTCATCCGATACCTGCTCTGATACTGCACAACCCATCAAGCAATACTGTTCATAATGCATTGCAACTTCCCAAAAGATTAGGGAATAAATACATGCTTAATTAATTTCAGTCTGGTCATGATGGGAACAGGATCAAAGAGTCACATGAATCTTGAGGAGGAAGAGGAATGATACAAGAGTCATAAGGCAAATTACTCAAGCCAGCATTCTGTCAGCATCTAGGAGTGAAGGGAATTGCTAGTTCATTATTATGTTTTTACAGATACAAGCAAAAAAATTAGTACCAAACAAGACTAATAAAATAATAAAGTGGAAGAGAATGACATGCCTTCTCTGAGAGCCCCCCAATAACTGTTGCTGAGTTTATCTAAAAGATAAACCAAGGATGGGGAACCTGTGGCTCTCCTGCCATTGCTGGACTCTCCTCCACCCTGATCCACCTGACCAGCGGTCAAAGGGTCTTCCATGTACTGCAGAATGTGAGGCAGAAGCAGCGGCCAGCTTTAACACCCCCCCCATTCAGCAGGCATTCCTGGGCTCATGAGATTCATTCATGTTGTTCTTTTTCATTACTTAATGATGTTGAACTGAATGTTTTGTTGATAGCTTCTCTGTTTTTACAGATATATTTGTATTTTTTGCTTAAATGTTGCATATGCATTCTTTTTTCATTATCTCACTGTGTTTTATGTAAAATGCTTACAGATTCTGCATATTAAGGGGTATACAAGTATTAATGATGGTGGTGGTGAACAAAGTAAGCGGGGAACCCTATGGCCCCTGTGAAGACTTCCTAGGAGCTCCGGGATAGATCTGTTCCACTCTGGACTTCCCAGAGGCAGATCCGATGTCCTGCCCTCTCGGCCTCCACCTGCTTCTCCAGTGCCCAGGCCCAACCAGCCAGCACCCCCAGGAGCATTCCAGGGGTGTCCCAGGAAGCAGCTTAGTACCCACCTGAGGCCACCTTCAACAGCAACTTATAGACCTGTAATTCAGCCTGCAGGGTCTGGAAGTGCAGCTGGTTTTGCTCGCACTGCTGCTGAAGCAGAGCCACTCTATGTTGAAGCCTGCAAGGAGAACCCCAAGAAATGAATGGAAGTTTGCCATCTCTGGATGGGAAGTCAGATGTCTCTGCAAGGCCCATCCTGAAGGGACAAGCAGATGCAGAAAGCCTAAAGGCAGCTTCATCAGAGTTCCTTCTTCTTCTTCCCTTTCCCAACTCGGGGGGGGGGGTCAAAGCCCATTCACCCTCCTTTTGGGTTCTCTTCCTACAAAAGTTCTTTCCTTCCTCCAACTGTAGTGTTTTGGGGTTTTATTTTTCAAACAATGTCTGATGCTTTCTGGAAGGCTGGTCTTATTAATCTTACAGTAAAACTAATGAAGCAGATTTCACCAAGTTAAAAACTAATTTATTCTGGCCATAAACGTTTGTGGACTGGAGTGATGAAATGTTCAGATGAAATGGATTGCAGTCCAGGACAGCCTACGCCACACTAAACCTGTTAGTCTTTGCTGTGGAGATGCCTGCCGTTGTAGGGATCCTTGCGAATGGCTCCGAGAAAGCCCGTCCCTCCACCCCAATTCCTGGTCATCCAGCCTCCACACCCAACAGCTCCCATCTCCATAAGACTTTGAGGGCAAGGAGATGCTCCATCTCCTTGACTTCTGCTGTTCTGTTTGGCCTACCTGGAATTGTTCTTCTGCAGAGCCAGAAACTCCTCCTGGAGGTGCACAAAGTCTTGCTGCTTGCCTCGGATTTCTTCCTGTAGCCGCTGCTGCTCAGCTCGCTGCTGGTGCAGCTCCATCTCGCCGTCATGCAGTTTTGAGTGGGATGCCAGCAGAGCTTCCTGCAGCTGCTCCAGCTCTGGGGATGGGAGAGAGTCAGAGGTGCTTTTATCTTACTAAAGAGTCCTCAAACAGAATGCAACTACACTGCCATTATTTCTTTGATTAAAATAAAAATGTTAGTGCCTTTTCACATGTGACCATCAGAATCTCCAGCTGCTGTAGAAGGGAGGCTGGCCTGGACATGGAAAGGCCAGCTGTCCAAGCTGAGCTTTGATCTCCAACTCCTGCAAGCCTCAGAGCTTCTACCTCCCCATGTGGCACACAGACTGGCAGAAAGGGAAATGACTTTGAAGGGTCTGCTTTCTGGGAGGCAAGCTGGACTTCAGTTCTTTCCATTCGTCATCCAGGTACACCAGAAGACAGGGGAGGGGAGAGATCCCTTGCACTCTGAATGGCTGGATGCAAGGAAGGAAAAGTGAGGGGCATTTCGTACAAGCATTTTGTACTTGAGTACGATCTGAAAGTATGAAATATACAGAGAGCCCCTTAGAGCTTTTCCACTTGGAGCGGAATTAAACAGAACTTTAACATACTGCTATTTTACCCAATAACACTCTTCTGCATTTCCAAGATTATTCTGTAATGTCTAGTCACTCATGGTCCCATTCAGGAAAGGTCCCTTCTAAATTAAAGTCTTCCTGTATAATGCCTTCAGTCAATTTTATTGCTTCCTCTGGATCCCAGCTGAGGGTGTGTGTGACGGGTGTGATATCTAGACACCAACAGAGCACTTTGGGGTTGAGCGCCATCTGTGGCAGATCTCTCCCTGAGGAGAGGGTGAGGATGCCTTTCCTCTTACCATGACTTTTTGGCACCAGGGACAGGCGTTTTTCCAGTTGCTCCCGCAGGTGATCATTGGCAGAGATGGACTCTTCTAGGCGCTGTCGGAGAATCTGGATCTCAGAAAGGTGTTCCTCCAGCAGACCACCAGCTGTGCTCAAGCAGCAAGGAAGGGCACAGATGCAAGAGAGATGAGAGCCAAGGTAGGATGTGCCAAAAGTAATTCTGAAGCTCTGGAAATTTCCTGGCATAGGAAGGAGACCTGACCTGTGCAAGCTACTATCATCCTCAAATTTATAACCTGGCATGAAAAGGTGGAACCACACATCCGGTTCTACAAGAGCAATATTAAGGCAAAGGTAAAAGGTAAATGACCCCTGGATGGTTAAGTCCAGGCAAAGGTGACTATGGGGTGCAGCGCTTATCTCGCTTTCAGGCCAAGGGAGCCGGTGTTTGTCCACAGACAGCTTTCTGGGTCATGTGGCCAGCATGACTAAACTGCTTCCATCACAACAGGACACCATGACAGAAGCCAGAGTGCACAGAAATGCTGTTTACCTTCCTGCCGCAGCAGTACCTATTTATCTACTTGCACTGGCATGCTTTTGAATTGCTAGGTTGGCAGGAGCTGGGACAGAGCAACAGGAGCTCACCCCGTCATGGGGATTCAAACCGCTGACCTTCTGATTTGCAAGCCCAAGAGGCTCAGTGGTTTAGACCACAGCGCCACCTGCGTAATACCAGTAATAGTAAGAGATGCTGGTGAATCTCACCAGACCTAGGCTCGGAAATGCCCATTGATCCAGAGCAGGATGTCACTCATGATCCAAGGAATACTCAGTGGTTTCTTACACTGGAACCATGCAATCAAAGAAGGCTGGTAAGGATGGTTCTCATGACTCATGCAATGAAGAGGACAGGACCGCAGGGTTTACCTGAGAGCTTCTGGCTAGAAAGTGTTGCTAAAGAACATGATGGCAGGATTCCAGAGACACATCTCTCCTCTGGCTCTCTGAAGTTCAGGTGCATACAACAGGGGGGTTTGCTCTCCCCCACCCACCCCTCAGATTTCCTGTTCCATTCAGTAGAGTTTTGCATGGGAAGCCACTGGTCCACATGAGGGCAGGCCTGGAGGCAGGGCTTGGAAGAGACAGCAGGGAAGCCTGTGGAAAGGCAGCCAGCCGGTGACCCTGACGTCACAGGAGGTAGAGCTGGCAGCTGCACACCTAGGCAGAGGGGACAGCAGAAAGTCAGAAAGAGGAGGGCAGGACACCATGCTCACTTTTATGTGACACTGCAAGCTTTCCATGGGAGTGGGGACTGCTGTGGCTGTCTACTCCATTCAGCCAACTTCCCCACTTTCTCCCTACAGCACATGTCCAGGTATTTGGCATCTGAAAACCAGAACACAACTCTATATTGGGTGCAATTCTAGAGAGAAAAATTAGGCACCTGCTTCTTGTTGGTGGAAGATTTGTTAGTATTCAGGAAAAATCCTGCTGTCTATGAAACCAGTCTGGGTTTTCTAGGCTACGACAGTGTTTAAGGGCAAAGAAAAGCAGGTGCAATGCAGAGCGAAATAAAACAACATGACAGCTAGTAAGTGCAATAAATAACAACAACACATTGTTTCTTGATATCGCCCGCAAGTCCTTTCAGCTGTCAAGTTGCCAACAATAAGAAAGACTCAGAAAGCAAGGCAACTCAAACCTCACTAGATGTAACATGGGAGATCTGTAATCAGAATCTCCTGTGGGAGATATAGATACACACAGAGAGAGATAGAAAGGGAGGGAGCTATGGGTGCTCAACTCACACTGGGGATCAGGGAAGGGGGCTGACCCCTTTCTCCTCAATGTTCTCCTGATTAAAATCCTTCCAGAAGCTGGGGAGGGATGGGGAGAAATTGTTCTAATTTGGAATATGGTGCGGGGGGTGGGGTGGGGAGGATTACCTGTTAAAATTCCCGGTCTGATCTGGATCCTCTGAGATTAAAGATTCATTTAAAATACACACAGAGGGAGAAGATCCTAATTGGGGATCTATTGTGTGATGATGTAGCATCTCTGTTCCTCACTGTGGCCCAGAAATAAAGGTTGGCTGAGGGAAGCAAAGATGTTGAAGGATGACTGTATATGGTTCTCATATTGTTTGAGAAGTGTGAATTCAGTGGCTTCACCTTTAAATGCACACTGAATCTAATTTCCCCCTCAACCCTGCTCTCGGCAGTGAGCACAGTCCGTCCTGCAGTGTCAGTGTCCATTGCTTTTCTGGAACCCTCAAAATACCAGCCCCGAATGAACATACAAAAGTTGGTCTGCAATGGCCTCTGCTATCCTAGGAGGTGGTTAGTTTCCCTGCTCTAAGAGGTGAAGTCAGGCCATGCAAAGATGGTTGTTCAGCAAGCCATGCAAGCCATGTGGGAGGTTGGAGAGGGAGGCCAAGCGCTCACTTTCTCCCAGCTGATTCTGCAGCATCTGCAGCTCCTGCTGTGCCTCAGCCAGGGAGAAAACTGGCGCCCTGCAGCAGCCAAGGAGTGGAGCCGGGGCTGGAGGAGAAGGCCCCAAAGGCAGGAAGGAGCAGGGCCTGGAGGCAAATGAAACCAAACCAGCTGGCTTGGACAAAGAGTCTGGATGGAACCCTAGGCACAGAAAGAGAGAGAGAGAGAGAGAGGGTGAGGTGACAGACAAACATATGAACCAAGTGGGCTCTTCTCCAAAGATGCTGGCTGCAGCTTGGAGGACACAATATCGCCTCTTCAGCGAGTGCTCAAGAAGTCTGCTCAGCGAGAATGACTGATTCCACGAAAGAGCATCTCTCCCCCCCCCCCCAGCTATGTGGATAGTTTAGAACTTTCCCTAAAATGATCTGTCCATAAATGGGATGAGGCAGAGTAGTTTTTGTGCACAGGATGGACATACGCTGATCTATCCATCCCCACTTGACCTTGTGGCTTTGGTGGCTAAGGGTCCTTCTTACCAGCTCCATCTGGTTGGTCAGCTGTGGGCTTTCCAGGAGAGACACAGCATGATTGTGATTATTTATGCTCTGATAACCTCTGGGTCAGGGACGCAGGTGGTGCTGTGGTCTAAACCACTGATTGCCGATTGGAAGGTCGGCAGTTCGAATCCTGCAACGGGGTGAGCTCTCGTTGCTTGGTCCCAGCTCCTGCCAACCTAGCAGTTTGGCATGTTTAGCCTGGAGAAGAGGAGGTTAAGGGGTGATATGATAGCCATGTTCAAATATATAAAAGGATGTCATATAGAGGGAGAAAGGTTGTTTTCTGCTGCTCCAGAGAAGCGGACACGGAGCAATGGATCCAAACTACAAGAAAGAAGATTCCACCTAAACATTAGGAAGAACTTCCTGACAGTAAGAGCTGTTCGGCAGTGGAATTTGCTGCCAAGGAGTGTGGTGGAGTCTCCTTCTTTGGAGGTCTTTAAGCAGAGGCTTGACAACCATATGTCAGGAGTGCTCTGATAGTGTTTCCTGCTTGGCAGGGGGTTGGACTCGATGGCCCTTGTGGTCTCTTCCAACTCTAGGATTCTATGATTCTATGAAAGCATGAAGTGCAAGTAGATAAATAGGTACCGCTCCAGCGGGAAGGTAAATGGCATTTCTGTGTGCTGCTCTGGTTTCGCTAGAAGTGATTTACTCATGCTGGCCACATGACCCGGAAAAACTGTCTGCGGACAAACATTGGCTCCCTTGGCCAGTCAAGCGAGATGAGCGCCACAACCCCAGAGTCATTTGCGACTGGACTTAACTGTCAGGGGTCCTTTACCTTTACCCTCTGTATGCTATGTGTTATGCATGGGGCTGCCCTTGAAGACAGTTTGAAAATGGCAACTAGTGCAGAATTCTGCTATTAGGATTCTGAGCGGTTTTCCTAGATGCAGCCATATTGTGCCTGTTCTGAAGTCATGACATTGGCTCTCTGCTGGTTCCCAGGAAATTTTGACTGGGCCTACACCCCCAATGAAACACCTTTATAAAATAATATTTGTTGGGAAGAAAAATAAACATTTACAAAGATGTGGTGAAACTGGAAATATTCTCCCTCCTCACCAAAGGACTGATTCAGGAAAAAGGTGCAGGATGGCAGGCAGCTAAGCTGAGGGAAAGCTGTTGATGATGATGTCCAGGGTTACGTTCTAAAAATAAGCAGTATAGGAATTCAAGCCATCTGGAAATCATTCTCTTCCATGGGAGTTTCCCCCACAAGTTGAAGATGCAGGGGAAAGGTTGTGGTTACATTTTGTCTTCAATATTATGACACATCTAAAGGCAGTGAGGCTTGAGCTGGAAACACCTGGGTCATAAGCAGCCCCAAGGGGAGGAGGTGAATGAGATGCTTTAGCCCCTTGACAATTAAGATCCCTGAATATTCTTTACTGTATCCTCCTTTGCTCCTAACATGTCTATATTGCATGTTGATCTTCATAACACCAATTAAGTTATAACTAAAGGTCCACACATGCTGACAATTTGCCCACCATTCCACTCTGCTTTATGTGGTCCACCATACCTCTGCAAGGCTGCTGGGTGGCTTGTGAGGGAGATAGAAGAAGGTTCCTTGGGATGGGCTCTGCTGGAGCAGCAGGAGATGTGGCTGCAGCAGGTGGGGGAGATGGTTGCACAGAAGATTTGCTGGAATAACAGTCTAAAAGAAACCACAAAGAGAGGATGGGAAATGCTTTTGCATGTGGAGAGTATCATGGCTAAACTCTGGGGGCAAAGGAGCCCTGATCATATGACAATGGACGAGACAAGAGTGAGAGGAAATGTGGACAGTGATAATAATTTGTTTGTTTGTTGGCTAAATTTATACCCTACACATTAAGAAAACACGGTGCTCTCAAAATGGCTCATATTAAGTGAGAAGAGACAAAATAAAAGCCGTCGTACAACCATTTCATTAAAAGTATAGCAAGCATCTGAACTGCAGGTATGATCTGCCTCCCACCTTCAGAAATGGTATTCAGATGCAGCCAAGGCATGCTCCCATATACACAGCAATGGTGCAGACCTCCCAAGCCCTTGGCTGCCCCGTGAGGACCAGGTAGTTTGGTGATCTGAGCCTTCTTCTAACCTTACACCAGCTGAATATCTGGCGGATGAGTGGATACACACATTCAGAATATTTCACTTGCAAATCTAAATTGCTTTTAGACTCGTGCGGTGTGTGTGTGTCTCTTTGGTTTTGTGAATTCCTTGGGAACTTGGAAATGTCTGAACAAAACAACATTCACCAGACTTAGCATTATGTAACATGGATCGTCTGTGGTTCAACCTAAATCTTGTGCCCAGTTCTGAATATGTTTTCTCTTCTCCTATTACTAACAGGAGGCATGTATTCAGTCCTTTTCTACAATGCTCTCCATCCTGCACCCCACCATACCTGTAATTCGGGTGTTATTCCTTTATAAAAGCAAGCAATCCCATTGTGTGGATATCTACTTTTTTACCTCTCACAAGCCCTTCATTCCAAATGGTTTGGCAACCTTTTGCAATCTCTGACACATGAACCCCACTGTGGGTTTAGTTTTGACTTTCCATGCAAAGTTTTTAGCAAGACTGTACATATATCTGTGCATGGAAGCCCCCTAGGAGCAGCTCCCACCCTGTGGAGAAAGTCTGCAATGGAGCTTTTCCAAGTGTGAGCAAGAGCCTTAGAGAGGCTGTCTTGGGAGAGAAGGGACTACTGGATAGGCCTGGTCTGTTCTGTTCTCTCCCCCTTGCACCTTCGTGTAGAACTGGAGCAACTAGGATCCAGTCTCCGTTCCAGGTTCCCTGCTGCGTTGTCCTTGGAGGTCTCTGCGCCTGGCACAATTTATGCTACTCAGCAGTCCTGGAGAGAGAACATTCCTCCGGCAGGTCTTTCGGACTATACCTTTGTTTTGGAGGCTGTGGGGCTGGTTTTCACTAGGGTCCTCCTGGCAGAAAACAAGCTCGCTGCCCTCATCCATGTCAGAGCAGCCGTCCAGGCCGTCTGAGAGAAAGGAAGTGCTGCTGCCAGAACGGGGCGATTCAGAGATGGTGCGGCTGCTGGAAGGGGTCACTGAGCGCAGGTGGAGCTTCGCCTGGAGGCTCTGGATGGTTTGCTCCTTCTCCTGGAGCTCCTTGTTCAGTCTGGGGAAGGACAAAGTATTTCCACAGAGAGACTTCCCACCTCCCCAAAGAAGACACATCACCGGGGGGGGGGGGCAGGGCTCTCTGCCCTTTTAGTGGCTGTGCAGAACAAGGAATCTGAGCAGGTGAAATTGTTTCACACAAATGTTAAAGGTGTCTTCTTGTCACCTTAACATCATGCCAATCTCTTTCTTGTACTCTGTGCCAACCAGCAAACTCACAAAGTCTACTTGTGGCACAAATTCTCCCTTGGAGATAACTTATTACAGGACAGGACATGCGTTGGCTACAAAGGATCCCACACTGCTAAGGGCCACCGGTTGTTGTATGAGGTGTCCCAGCCCTGAGCTAGAGGACCAGGCATCCCACTTCTAACACCAAATTGTTATGGAAATACTGGGGTTCAGCCTGGAGTCTCCAGAGGCTAGTAGAGCAGGAGGTCTTTATTCAAAGCATGGTAATGTGGCATGACCCAAGTGAGGGAGGGACACACACTTTTCAAGTAAAAAGGAAGCAGAGGGGTAGTTATGCCCACAGGGAGGACAGAAACTGGATACAGAAGTCCATTGACTAAGTGAAGAGCTGTATCACTCTGCCAAGTGGCAAAAATTTACCATACATAAGATGTGCAGTAAAACGGATGCGTAGAAGTACCAAATTTGAAGTAAGTAATGTCAAAATAAGCCTGCAGCTAGGAATCTACTACAGTTACCTCAGAGTAAGCAGTTCATGACTAGATTTGTCCTCCATTTTTAGGTCATTCCCTGAAACAGAATTCAGAGGAACAGGGTTAGTCCATGATTTTGCAGTCCCCCTACTTTTTCTCCCTCTCCCTCTCTCTAATAGGGGACAAAACAGGAAGTCATGAGGAAAATGTGGGTTCCATACTGAGAAAAATTGATGTCACGCCAAAGTCTCCAACAAGACCCTGCCCTTAAAAAAAAAAGCTTCTTAAAAACCTTGCCTATATGGTTTTCAGACTTTTTCACAGACAATGTTAGGAGAGCCTAATTGTAAAACCTGTCTCAGTCAAAGATTCAATAAAGCATGAACACACTGTCTCTAGGCCTTAGCACTCAAGCTGTATGGTGGGAATAACTGCTTGTTGGAGAGAAGCAAAAACATTTCCTTCTCTTGAGCTTGTCGCTAATGAACATATTACTTTAAACCACATGAGGGAACTGTTTGTCTAGTGATCAAGCCAACACTCATGGGTCTAAGTTAACTCCACCTGCAAAAGCTGAACCACTTTAGTCTGTTCTGTCTCCCAACTTGTTGAGACAAAACGTCTGCTATGTTCTCTTTCTCCACTTGTCCTGTAAATAGTTTCTGCATGAATAAAGCCTTTGAACTCCATAAACTGTAAGTGAACATTCCACTCTAACTCACTCAAGCAGCAAATGCGCCCAGTCAAAGGAATGCCCACAGTAGATAGTTAAGTAGTGTTACTGAAGTTGGGCACCACTCCCACTCTCTGCTGAGTGGTTGCAAGATTCCCAGGAGTTCCAGGTGCTCACCCAGGGTTTGTGTTCCTTTGGAGGATTGAAGACACAGCGGAGACTGTCATAGCTTGGTCATTTTAAGAGGGACTTGATCCCCACAGCAGAGCAGCACTGGAGTTCAAGGCATGTCTTCCAGCCAGCTCTGCATCCAGCCTCCCAAAGATGGATCTCTGTCTATTCTCCCCTTCTTCTTCTCCTCAGTACAATCATAGAATCATAGAATCATAGAGTTGGAAGAGACCACAAGGGCCATCAAGTCCAACCCCCTGCCAAGCAGGAAACACCATGTACACCCTGCTCTTTTCATGACACCTCAAACCCCCCCATCCCCATGGCAACCTCCGTCTGCCCAGGCCCAAGATGGGCCTTCAAGACCTTTTGTCATGTTAACGCCTCTATCCCAGGTGAGGCCTTGGCTTGGAAGGAAGCTGAGCTTGTACTTCCCCACTGGCAAGGCTTTTTTTGCAGCTGGAACTTGCTGGAACTCAGTTCCAGCAGCTCTCAGGCGGGTGCCAGGGTCCCTATCTGCACCCCTACAAGCCCTCAAACTCAAAGACTGTGAGAGCCAAGGAAACTCACTTCTGTTCAGTTTGCTGGCCAGCCGCTCTGCCCACTGACTCCCTTGTGCCAGCTGTTCACGGAAGCTTTGGCCCAAGAAGTAATCAAAGTCGGTGCCTCTCAGGAGCTCCTCAAAGGACTTGATGGTGTCCTGGAAGTGTTGCTTCAGCAGGTGACACACCCCTCGTCCCTCCCGAATCACCTGGCGCAAATGGGAGAGCTCCCGAGCCTGAGCCTGGACCAACGAATTGTATTTCCTGCAGGAGAAGAGAGGACCGTGAGAGGCAAGGCTCCCCCCTCACCAAGTGATGGAGGAACACTCTGCCCCCAGTGAGAAATAAAGGCACTGGACTTTCGGGGGATGCCGTGGGGAAAAAGACACCTTGGAACGGATCCACAACTCTTGCTTGACTTTGCCAAATTAATTTCACAAGGTCAATGCTCTCCTCAGGGAGGTTATACACCTTTAGGTGCCAGGTGAGAACGCTCCTCTCCAACCAGGCCTTGGGCTGATTAACAAGCGACACCCGTTTCCATGTCTTGTGGGAGAGGAAGAAGGCGTTAACGTTTTATGGGGTTTTTTGTTCCTGTTTATATTATGTATTTTGTGCTTTTATCTTGTAATTTTATCTTGTGAATGGCCCTGGGATCTGCAAATTAAGTGGTGTATAAAAATTTGATTAATATTGATGATGACGACGACGACGACGACGATGATGATGATGATGATAATAATAATAATAATAATAATAATAATAGCACTAGTAATTATAATAATAAAATGTTGTTTGAATATTCTGCCATGTAGAAATGGCTCGTATATTGAATATACCAGAGGATATCCAGAAGACCAAGTGTATCTACAGAGCCTTTTAATGGGCTCCACCCCCTGGCAAAGGAGGAGCAAGAAGGCACTGGAGGGGCTGCCTTGTGAAGGTCCGTCTCTCCCAGGCCCAGCAGATCAGTTCCCCCTGCCCCCTGGAACTCTGCCTCAGTCCTACCCCATGGATGCTGCAGGCTTCAGCTCCTCGGCCAGCAGCCACTTGGGCTTGCTCTCTCCCAGATGAGCCTCCAGCAGGGACACCCTCTGGATGAGCCTGGCCAGGTCTCGGCTGGGCTGGAGGCTGGCGGGGCAGAAGGAGCCCAGGCTGTCTGAGTACCAGCCTTCATCTTCCTCCGTCATGCTGTGCGAGGGGGAGCTGCCCAGGGCATAGCCTGGTTTCTGCTGGAGTGGGCGCTCGCCCCCAGAGCCATAGTCGTTTGTGGCAGATATGGAGCGCACATGACTCTGCAGGTTCTGGATGACTCTGTGCGAGCTCTGCAGCTGCAGCTGGAGGTCCCACACTTGCTGGCGGAGAATGGCAGCATCGTCACATGGGCTGGGAGGGGAGCCCAGCATGTTCTTCCCAGGCTTCAACTCCTCATGGAGTTCACATTCATGTTCTTCACATTCTGGGGAAACAACTGAAAGGTGAGATATTAGGGCGGCGGGGGGGGACGGGACACACGACCAATATTGCCCTGCCAAGGGGTGCAAGTTGGCCCACAAGGCCATTTCCCCCAAGCCACGCCCACCAGCTGACATAATTGGGATTTTAAGATTTTGTTCCAACAGACTTTGAGATTGGTTCATTAAGAAACCAGGAAATGAGCCCCTGACAAAGTTATTTGGGGCTGCAAATCCCTTTTCTTGGCAGCTTCAAAATATGTTTCTCTCTTTTTTTGTATGGCATGATACGTGTTACATCAGCTGATGGGGTTCAGTCCTGCTGGTGAAGCAGACCCCCTTCTTGCACCCCTAGGAGCTCACCTATCAGTCACCTGACATTATCATAATGTCAGATGATTCACAGGTAGTCAAGATTAGCACACAGGGTGGAGGGAGATGAGGATCTGGTCCACCAGTCCAAAAAGGGTTTCCACCTGTGCATTAGGGTCCTTTCCACCAAACATTCACTCAATATGGAGTTGCTGCAAATCCCAACTTCCTGGCAGCTGTTCCCGGACCACACTGTAGATTGAGAGCTCATGGGCTGCATTTACAATTTTTTAGATGTACGGCTAAAAATAACACAATGAACATATGAAATAGTCCCTAGACCAGTGGTTTTCAACCAGTTTGCTATGGCACCCTGGCCTCTGTCCCTCTTTCCTTCCCTCCCTCCTCTGAGGCTCTCTTGCGTCTCTGCCGCCCAAAGGCTGGCAAAGCTGTTTGTGGCAGCAGCCCTGGTTGCAAGCTCCATAGGTGAATGGTGCCTCTGGGGCTGGCCAGGGGGGGGCTGGTTGCCAGGAACTGAGGCAGCCTTGGAGTAAGCCAGCAAGGGGGTGAGGGAGCCCAGCCAGCCAGTCCACTAACCCTTGCTGTTGGGAATGGGCAGACCAGTGAGAGGGCGGGCAGGTGCTGCCCTGGCCTTCCTGGTGCTTGCTGTGTGCAAGGCTTGCCTGGGAGGTGAGTGCCTGGTGCCGAAGGGGAGCCTTTCCACCATGCAGGCCCTGCAGCGCCTGCTGCTGCCTCTGCTGCCTCCCAAGGTGAGCAAGGGGCCACCGTCTTCCCAGGCAGTGTGAGGAAGCACCTCTCTTTTTGGCAGGGGGGCAGCTCAGAGACTGGGGCGGTGGCAGAGGCTGCTCAGAGGACACCCAAGGAGAGGGGAGGAGGCTGGGGAAACCCTCCATGAGAGAAGGTGTTAAAAAAAGGGTGAGAGGCTGCCAGCTCGGCAGACAAAGGGGGACATAACTGGGCTCCTGAGCCCCACAGGGGTGCTGCAGAAAGAATGTAATTGCTCAAGGGAGCCGGGGACTCAGAAAGGTTGAAAACCTCTGCCCTAGATATATCCCACTTTTAGAATCACTCTGGCATCGGGAGGCCTTTGCTTTAGCCCCACCCCACCCCTCGGTCACTTGCGGGGCAAGAGCTCAGCTGGAACTCCAAAAAGGCCTTGGGGGCAGCAACAGCCGGCCTGGGGGGGGCTTCCATGTTACCAGGACTGGTTGCCTCTTCTCGGTCAGCCTCGTTTTCGCTTTTCCCGCAGGTCTCATAGCCCAGATCCTGGAGATCCACTTGTATCTGCTTGGTGTCCTGCTGCACCGTGGGTTCACCTGTTACAAAGAAAGCCAAAAATACTAGCCTCTTGCCTTTGGCTGAAGGACAAAGGCTACTAGAGAGCCTTGGGCACCTCTGCAAATTCCAGGACACAACCTCTCTGCCCCATGGGAACATAATCCTGAGGGAAAGACTGAGGAAGAGAACAGCAGTTGCAGAGCCCACACAGAACAGGGAGTCCCTTTCTTCCCTGCAGCCTTCCTGCACGCCATCCACAACACTTTCCTGTAGCATTTTTGGATTATTACCAATAATGGTGCGATTCCGGGTTAAATGGCTGCATCCCGTGAGAAGAAGCACTGTGCTCCCATGACCAAAATCTCCACTTCCAAAAAGGAAGATAACTCGGCCACTGAAGCCTACATACAAGCTGAAATTAACTGAAGTGAACTGTTGATTGTTCAAGCTAAAATATATTTATTGTGTAAGAATGATGTAATTTTGCTTTAAAAACCAATGGAACCAACACCCAAAATGGGGGGAGCTGGAGCTGCTTACATTTCCTCCTTTTTAATGTTGGCATGCCCATTCCTCCCCCTGCCCCTGTAAGGCTACTTCAGCTCCCGGGTCAATGCTCAATGGGGAATCCTTCTTTGGGCATTTCAGCTCTTCCTCCACAGTTTGTGTTGTATTAGGACAGGAAATAAGACAGCAAAAGGTCACAATGAACTCTCTGCAGACAATCAACCAGCATCTTTTTTTGTTCCTTAGGATTTAAGTGTCCCTCATCCATGTCCACACATCTGGTGCAACCGTACTCACTGAGCAGGGCCCGGTACTGCTCCAGCTGTGCCACCTGAGCCAGGACAGTGGCCTCTGAAACCAGGAGTTTGCCCCGCAGCCTGTGACATTGTTTTTTGCACTGAGGCAGCTCTGAGGGGAGAAGATGGACTGGCTGCCTGAGCTGCTGCCAGGAGTTGCTTCCCAGTCTGACTTCACACACCTTTGGAGAAGAAATGAGGGGTTGTATCAGTCCACAGCGGAAAAGACATGTGAGTCTTCAGGGCAGACTTTAAAGTGACCCATGAAATATCCCTCGTAGGTTACACTGCCCACACCCAGTCTTTTATTCTACCTTGATCTGCACTTGACTTGCACCAACCTGGTGAGACACATTTCGCAAAAGGACTACATGTATTACCCACTTAAACAGAGGCTAAAGCTTTGGTGTGACCCAAAGCGCATTAAGTTAGTACTGCAAATAACAGTTTGGAACAGTAAATCCTGCCGTTGCCCAACATCATTATGGAAGTTAATATCCTTTTAAAATCTGTTCTGCGCAGGAGACCAGAGAGCCATTGAACAGGAAGAACTCTTGAGTAGAAATGGCAGATGCTGCTAGCCTAGGCAAATCTTCCCCAGCTCTGAGGTAATCCAGAGTTACCTGAGTCTCTTTTAGGCTGGTGTCCACACTCTGGGGACATGGGCAGTGCTGCTGTGGGGCACTGTCATGGGGAGCCCCCTTGAGGCTGCCTTGCGAGGCCACTTGCAGCTGCTCGGACTCCTGGGTCACACCAGCAGCGACCTGCTGCTGGAAGATGCTTCCACCTGCTTGGCTGCTCAGAGTCAGCTGTTCTTTCAGGAGGCTAATCACCATCTCCGAAGAGTGCAGCTTCTCCTGCAGCTTCCTGACTTCCAACTTCAGGTCCTCTTGCTCTTCCTTTTCATCCTCATTCTCCCAACCCTCGGATAACATTGCTTCTCCAACTTGCTCCTTGAGCTCTGCATTTTCGAGACACAGACTCAGCAGGGCCTTCCTGTAGAGACATAGGAATCAGTACCCAGAGATTAAGCACTCTTGGTAACTGGCAAGTCTGGGGCAGCCAACATGGTGTCCCTCCAGGTGTTGTTGGTCTACTGTTGTTCTACATCAGCCCCACACAGCATGGTCCGTGGCTGGGGGTTGCAGGAGATGTGGCCCAGCAACACCTGCAGAGCACTACCTGGGCCATCCCGGATTATCCCGCTTGCACCAGGCATTGCTCCTGGACTAGCTGGGTATTGAACCTTTCCTCCCAGCACTGGCCCAGGAAATGCTTGAGACTCCACCAGCATTAGGATCATTCTCTTTGTTTAGCATAATCAAGAGGCGGGGAAAGGTGGTTGGAAAACAACATTTTAAAAGTACGGTAGCAGAGGAAGCGTTTGTCATCCTCACTGCTTACGTCTCAGGCTGAAAGAATGAAGAGTCTTTCTCACGGCCTGCGTAAAGGAGTTTTGACCTCAGAGGACCTCAGGGTACGAGGCATTCGTCCTTGCACGGTTTTGCACTAGAAGCATGTCTTGGAAGCTGGCTGGAAGGCCTCTGCACGTTCTGCTAGAGATCCAACCTGCAACTACAAGCTCTTCCTCCGGCCCATCACTAGCCATTGTGCAACTGGGACCTGCCAAAAGGCCTATTCCTAACCCGCAACCTGGAACATGCTCCAAACATCTATATTTGAACCTTATCGGACATTTAACTTCTGTGGTTCTTGCCCCAAAGAAAATCATCACAAGGGTTCAGGACTTCTCATTTGCCTGGACACCTTTTATTTTGATTTCAGTTTCACTGGCTCATATCACAAATGCAAGGAAAGAGGAGGACTATCAGTCTTCATTGTAAGAGCACCCACCAACTTCTAGAAGGCCTCTGAAGGCAGCCCTTTATCAGGCAGTTTTTAATGTTTGATGTTTATTATGTTTTTACATATCCTGAAAGCCGCCCAGAGTGGCTGGGGAAACCCAGCCAGATGGGCGGAGTATAAATAATAAAATTATTATTATTAAAAAAGAACTACCGGTACACTTCTCTCCATATGAACCGACTCAGACCCCGCAATTGCCCTCCGAGGCCATTCTTTGTGTGCTCTCTGCATGAGTGATTGAAGGGCAGCAACACAAAAATAGGCCTTTTCTGTGGTGGCTCCCCATTTGTGGGATGCTCTCCCTAGGGAGTTTCTCCTGGCACCTTCATTACATATCTTTAGGCGCCAGGAGAAAACATTCCTCTTCTTTCAGGTGTTTGACTAATTAAACAATGTATGGCCTTTTAAACTGTGGAAAGGGGTTATTGTTTGTTACTATGTTATGTATTTTTGTGTTTTTATACAGTGGTACCTCAGCTTACATATGCTTCAGGTTACATACGCTTCAGGTTACATATGCTTCACGTTACAGACTCCGCTAACCCAGAAATAGTGCTTCAGGTTAAGAACTTTGCTTCAGGATGAGAACAGAAAATGGGCTCCAGCAGCGCGGCGGCAGCAGGAGGCCCCATTAGCTAAAGTGGTGCTTCAGGTTAAGAACAGTTTCAGGTTAAGTACAGACCTCCGGAACGAATTAAGTACTTAACCTGAGGTACCACTGTATTGTAAACTACACTGTGATTCTTGGAAGGGCAGTATAGAAATTAAATTTAATTAAAAACAAACAAACAAATACATTAGAACTGAGGTTGCTGCACTCCAGGAGGACATTTTCGGGAGCCACCCTAGCTTACCTGAGCTGAGATATTGAGGAGAACCCAGCTTCTTCAATCTGCCCCTTGAGATGCTGCAACTCCCCTTCCAGCTTCTTCTTCTGCTCTCGAAGCTTCTGAGTCTCAGATTTTGCAGAAAGCAGTTTCGGCCTGCAGGCTCTTTTCTCTCTCCAGAGAGGGAGCGGGGAAACTGCTTTGGCCCACGAAGGTGCCATCAGCTCCTTCCTTGGCGTGCTAAAACATGTAATTGAAACAAGAGGAGATAACTCCTAAAAGTCCAGAACACCCAGTCTATGGAAGATGTGCCAGAGAATGAGTTGCTACACAAGCAGAAGTGCACAGCTTCAGCAAGGAGAAGACCGATACTGGGACTTCCAACATAATGACAACAATTTGCACGCAGCAGTTTGCACACACCAAAGCCTTGCTTACTGGGGTTATGTGGTTGTGAGTTCTGGCAGGATCTGATGAGAGCATCTTTCCAGAACCTGGAAGCTGCAGATGTTTCTCTGACAGGGACAGGGGGCAGGTGGGGCACCCCCCCACACACACACCATGAGAGAAGTGAGGAGCAGCAGTGGTGAGAGCTCCTCGAGATCTCTAGACTTCTGCAAGATCTCACCAGAAGTCTCCGCCAATTCTCCTTGCTTCTCTGGTGGTGATTGCAGGGATGGGTGGAATTTGGCTGCCTCACTCAGCCTCCTGGGCAGAGCCTCCTCAAGCCAAGCCAAAGGAACAATGTATCCACTGTTACACAGGACCACACTGCTCCCAGGAAGAAGCATCTGCCCCTTTGAGCATGATGCTTTGCTCTCTGATTCACCTGTTGGCAAGTGGTTCTCTGTGCCTCTTCTTCAATACTGTCTGTGAACTCTGTGCTGGCATCCTCAGCATCCTCCTCTGCCACTGGACCTGGGAATGACACCACAAAGCAGACCCTTGAGACTTCTCCCTGGCCTGTATAAATTTCCATGCATAACTGCCAGCACAGACTCTGCAGCAACTTGATGCCAAATTGACTGCAGATTCCAACAAGGAAAATACTTCAGTACTTGCAGCTCTTCCCTTTACTGCAGGAGCAGCCTTTCCCTGTGCAGCAGATACAGATACAGCCAGAAAGTTTGGCTACTGACACAGTGCATGTCCTGCTGCATGTGCCCTCCAGGCCCAAGCAAATGCCCCACAGTACCTGAGCTTGGATTCCTCAGGTGTGGGTGTGGGTGTTTTGGAATGAACCGGCCTCAAGTAACCACCAAAATGTATAAAGGTAAAGGTAAAGGGACCCCTGACCATTAGGTCCAGTCGTGACCGACTCTGGGGTTGCGTCGCTCATCTCGCTTTATTGACCGAGGGAGCCAGCGTACAGCTTCCGGGCCATGTGGTCAGCATGACTAAGCAGCTTCTGGCGAACCAGAGCAGCGCACGGAAATGCCGTTTACCTTCCTGTCGGAGCGATACCTATTTATCTACTTGCACTTTGATGTGCTTTCAAACTGCTAGGTGGGCAGGAGCAGGGACCGAGCGCCGGGAGCTCACCCCGTCGTGGGAATTCGAACCGCCGACCTTCTGATCGGCAAGCCCAAGCGGCACAGTGGTTTAACCCACAGTGCCACCCACGTCCCTACCAAAATGTATAGAGCACCAGAATTAAGGACTACATTGCTAGATCTCGCTGGCCCATTCAGTAATCTGAAAGTTTGTCCTGAAGAGGAGCCGGTGGTAAAGGGGGAGCGGTTAATGGGGACCGAGAAGAAGGCAGGCACAAGGAAAGAATGAGGAAGTGTTTCTTAACGAAACTATCAGTTAAAATTGCACCAGATTTCCTCTCTTTGTAACGGAAGCAAGGTACAAAAGCTCCCTTCCCCAAGGATTCTGTGCCGAGAAAGAGAGATAGAAGAAGATAGAAGAAGGTAAAGCCATGCAATGCTAACAGATTAAGAAAGGGGAAAGAGAAACTGAAAAAGATCCAAAGATGTAAGGGAACAACCAGACACAAGAGGCTTATTCATTCATTAACCAGGTGCAATCTGTCTCTACCCGGGTAAAAGTGCTTGTGTGGAAGTGTGCACATTTGCACAGTTCAAGTATTGTGTCCACAAACTGTACACTTGTTGACTTTTACAAGTGAATAACTGAGTGTACGGCTCAACTATTTGTGTACGCAGGTATACTGATTGTACATTTGTTGAATGCCATGCGAGGTGTTAGGGGAAGAGTAGTCCCTCTGGTGGGGGGCACGTCATGCTCCTTCTAGGGTAGTTTGGTCCCCGCTCTGCACTCAGCTCTCACCTGTGGCTCCTAGCAGCTGTCAGCAGGCGACAGCGGCCACAATCCTAGGAATGGCTTTGACTGGCCGGCTTAAGCAGCTGAGGGGAGCCAATGGGTCTCAAATCCTCCATGAGTGAGGGACTTCCCCTCCATGCGAAGACAGGCTCTGGTAGACTGAGCAGACATGACCAAAAGTGGGTCCAATGGTCAAGAAGGCGGTTTCTGTAGAGGGAAGTGAGGGCCAGATGGGGCTCACCTGCCTGAGAAGAGAGCCCATCTAGGAGAAGGAAATCTCTGATCCTAAACCTCTGCTGCCTTGCAGGATGCCTTTGGGAGAAGAAAGGCAAAGGAGCAACCCTCCTACACAAATCCAGAGTGGAGTCCCTAAGGCAGCTGGATGGTGCCTTGTATGCCTCTTCCTGGCAACTCCGCAGCCAAGCTGGTGCCAAATGTCTTGCTCTGCTTTCCTTTGGGCCACATCAGCAAGGCCAAGATGGTCTTGCCTGGGCAGCCCAGGACTCCCAGACACACTTGCCCAGCCTTGTGCCCCAGGGAGGTCACTTGGGTGTTGCTAAAGCAGCAGTTTGTCTTCACTCAAGACAGACAGGTGCCAACATAAGTGTAGTGTGAACACCCCTATGGCCAAGAAGAAGAGAATGAGAAGCAGAGAAAGTAGGAAAATTGGGGGAAACAGATTACATTAATTGAGGAGACCCTCCCACCTCCTCAAAACTGGGGTTCTTCAGCCAACACAACAACCTTTTTCTTTTTTGCAAGTAGCAGCAATTCAGATTGAATTTAGCTTATCTTATTCTTAGGAGCTGGGTATTTAGTCTTGTGTAAAAAAGCAAGTCTGTACAACTTAGGGTTTGCCCTCAGTGGAGTTTACTGTGGGTCTGCAGCTTTTTGCATCCCCATTTAGTTTGTGTAGTCCACATGGTATTAGCTTCCGACAATACCAATCTCACTGCTTTCCCCCTATACATTCATGTTAAACGGGGGGAAACTAGGCTCTAAACAGCTTCACTCAGGGCTGCAGACAAACTATTTCTGGTGTGCTTCTGAACTCTGTGTGTGTTCACACACACACACACAGAGAGAGAGAGAGAGAGAGAGAGAGAGAGAGAGAGAGAGAATCTGCTTCCTATGTGTTTCAGCTATACAGTGTGCATTCAGCCTTGGTGTCCAGAGCAGTTTTCCTATCTGTGGTGACGCCACCTCCTGGTCAGAAAGCAGATTTATTTTCTGATTTTACCAGAGGGTGGAGCTCCAACCCTTCAGAGCAGACTCTCACCCTGCTGGCTTATTGGTAGCAACTGAAAAACAAACTTGAGGGGTCTGAGGGCCAAAACTAAAGGACAAAAGTATACATTGTGGTGCACAAGTCATTCTTGTTGGGCCCCATTCATTCCTCTCATGCCTGCCTTTGAATAAATTCCAGCAAAACCCAGTTGTGTGCATTAAGCAGCTGGATGGGTGGCCTTGAAGGATCCCTTCCACTCTGATTTTTTTTAGAAAAGTGAGCATCCATCTCAGATTGGATGCAGGCTCTTCTTGCCCCTGTGATGAAGTGCCTCTCATGGCACTGGCACCTCTTTCTCTGCTGCGTTGATATCCTGTTAGAACTTTCTGCAGAGCACCCTGCAAAAAATTCAAGTCAGGCTTAGAATCAGCCTTATCAAATGTATAATATCTCTTCTGCCACACTAGCTCATGGTGGCCTTGCATTATAAAAGGAGGATGGGCCTGGTAGGAAGAAGAGTAATCTGAACATGCTAACAGTGGCTTACAGAGCTTGGCACTCACCCTATAGGTTGCTAGTTACAACAAATTCGGGTGTAGATATATTATAGAAATTTTGTGATAGGAAATCTGCTCTGAGAAAAGCAGGGTCTCCTTCGCAAAAAGAAGACGCCCCCAAGAGTACCTAGCTGATCTCAAATCAATTGCAGCACACATGCCCAAAGAGAAATCAGGCTAAATACATACAGAAATCCTTCTGGTGAGGTTACTGTAGGAACACCAGTCTTGTATACTAAAGAACATGGGATGTGCTCCCACGCAGACTGTATTCATCTGCTGCACTTTTGATACCACAGGAACTCTGGAGGAAATTATCCTTTTGCAATCCTTGATGGCCTCAGAATACTGTATACAACTATCAAGAAATTGTCATTTAGAACAATTGAACAGCAGGTTAGTGTCGGAAGCTCAAACTGCTACTTGGCTCCACTACTCAAGTGTTGCCCGAGTCCTGTGATCCTGGAAGCTCCTATCCTTCACCCGCTAGGACAAAAAAAGAGGGTGTCAAGATTGCTGCAACTGCATCTCCCTGGGGGACCCAAAAGCAGTCTATAAAAGAGGAAGACAAGGCAGTGTGTTTACTGACTTAGTTGGTCTCGTACCCTTGAATATGACCACTCCGGCTGCCATGGTAGCAAAAATAATAATTGGGGAGTTGGGGATACCTCAATAGGTTTAGTGAGGAAACAGTTTGGGTCGATTTCCTTTATTCTGCAGCCCACTTTTGAATTATCATCTTAATGTTCTAGAGCAGGGATCTTAAGATGATAATGTATTTCGGCCCCCATTGGCCAATTGTCATGGATGATGAGAGCTGTAGTCAAATAACATCTAGAGGATCACAACTTCCCTGTTCTAAACTCGAGAGCTTTGGCAAAAAGTCTGTGGAAGAGCTCTGATGGAAGCAGCCTGTCGCTCTGAGTGAACAGGGCTTCATTTCTGCCTGGGAAAACCCTTCTTGTCTCAATGGGATTTTATTGATCCCAAGATAAGAGTAAAATCTCATGTATTGCAAACTATAGTACAGGAAAAAACCTAATGACTTTTCATGTTACTTATATTTAAGGGTTTTCTTTCATAATGAATTTTAATGTTGTCTTGGATATAAATAGTTTTAATTTTTAAAGAAACTTCCAACCCAAGTGATGTTAAGAATGCTGTGCAGATTCTGACTTCTAAGGGAGGCGACACACTCTGAAGGGGAATGATTTAACTCATATTCTGTTTTACAGTTGTGCCGTTTTCTTGGTGGTGTCTGGTTCCATCATACAGTATATGTTTTCTGTATATAAAGCAGTTTACTCTTGGGTTTCATTATTCCCATAGCAGAATGTTTTTTCCAAATCATATTTGTCCCTGCACAACATTAAATTTTATTTACATGGCTGATGCATTTCTCTATAAAGTATGGGATTGAAAGGGCTGTTCGAGAGGGAGTGGTAAAGGTCTCTTTCCCAATTGATTTCTTGGTTTTGCTCAGCCTGGAGACACATACTTCCCGCATGCCCGTCAAGGCTTAACAGATTTCTCAGATTCAAGCAGATTTCCATTTCCTTTCCCATATGCCACAGGAGTGCTAATGTTCAGAGTTCCACATTCCACCCAGCCAATCTTTTCTTGGAGACTCCATTGCATTCCCCCTCCTCCCATTTTCCATCCCACTCCCAACCAAAAAAAGGTCGGCATTCTGGTCCCACTGAGCTGTTTTTGAACAAACACCCGTTAGGGTTACAGATGCCTTTAGGCCTTCCACCTCCCCTTGTGTGCATTGATGGCACCATAACTTGTCATTTAATATTTGGCTGACTCTCGAGCTTTACTTTGCTTCACATGGTTTGGAA